CACCACACACAGGCGCACCTTTCCTTGCGCCCGATCCCCTTGCTGCGTCCGCACCCCGCCCCCTCCGGCCGGTGAACCCTCCTGCCTCCTCCACGCCCGCTCTCCCTTTCCCCAAGCTCGCCTCACGCCCGACCTGCATCGCCTCCATGACTCGAGCCGCCGCTGGAGACGGGGAGCCATCGTCCGTGCCCGGATCCATCCAATCCCGGCGTCACCACCAACATCGCCGACCCGCATCCCGTGATTCGGCCGGCGGCTGTTCTTCGGCTGCCTAGGAGGGGCGGCAGCGCCACCCGCTGTCCCTCGTGCTCTTTCTGATCCAGTTTGGTCGGCAAACTCATGCTTTCTTTGTGATTCGTGGTGTTGGGGCCATCTCCTGTGCGCATGGAGAGGTGTTTCTTTGGAACGGATGTAATCTTAAAGTATGCTTCATCCTCCGCACCTTTTTTCCGGTCGCTTGATGAATCATCCATGGGTGTGTATATGAATCAGTGAGATTAAGCGGAAATAAGCGATGTGGGATTATTATTATTTAGTTGAACAAGCACCGGAAGAAATCACGTGCGTGCAAGGCCCAAATCATCAAAATATAAACATGCATGAGGGCCCAAAGGCTGACGACCAGGACGTTTCTTAGGTTGGACGATTTAGGGCCCATGGAAACGACAAGAGCTATACGGACAGCTCGGAAACAATTGTCACCAGAAAACGAAACGGTTTTAGTATCATCTCGAATATGTTTAAAATTTGAACTGAAAGCGTAAAATCACGGGAAGGAGCGTATTATGACGGTGCACCCACGAAGTCAATCCGTGTTTTATTATTAGGAAGAGACTAGCAAATATGCCCGTGCGTTGCAACGGGTGAAAAACTATTATCCCGGCATGGCTGCATCCTCCAACTAAATGAATATGTTGTCCAAGATTGAAGAATAGATATGGAGATGTAGTAGAGATACTTTTTTTTTGAAATTATATGCTAAAATTAGCTAAGGACTTTTAAAAGGCAACTAAGACTAAAATGGCTACTCCCTTCATTTATAAATAAATATGTCTTTTTAAAGAGTTTAATATAGACTACATACAGACATGTAGTAATTTTATAAAAGCATACACGGTTGTCATTTTTATCCTATAAAGGAAGCCTCTATACACTGCAAGTATCAAAGTCATTGTCTCCAAGCTTGATGTCCCTCTAGCCCTAAAGTACGTCTCCAACAAATGAACAAATTAAAATTAATTGGTCTCACATATGAGAAAGTGTTGTAGTTGGTTATGTTTGTTAATGGATCGATTAGAAGCAAACAGATCCAATACAGTCGAACAACACAATATGATAAGTCAGAAAAATCAAATCACTATTTGGAAGTTAAGGTTTTTTTGGCACAAACATGTGAGACGTGTGGTTTGATGTGTGCTCATATGCGCTATGTGAGACGATCTCAGGGCAAGGCCCAAAAATTTTGCGACGTGGTTCCCCGAATTAGTACCACCTCGCATAGATGTTTTAAATTCAAACTGAAAGCGTAAATTCACAAAAAAGAAAGCGTATTGTGACGGTGGACCCACGGAGTCAATCCGTGCTTTATTATTAGGGATAGACTAGCACATATGTCCGTGCGTTGCCATGGGGAAGCAAATCCTCTCATGCTTCAAGCGACCCACCCGTCTTACACCATGGTCATATTGTCCACCTATTCACGACAAACCTCATAAAATTCAACCCGATGAGGTATCACATCCGTCGCACGCTGCTGTCGCAAGCCCCTCTAGTCGCAATAAAAAAAATTCCTGCACTGTCCTTCAAAAAACAGAATGCATGTAAACTGATAAATATCTACCTAATAAAATGTTGCAATGAACAAGCCGAATTATGTGGCCTATCCTAGCTAAATTTTGGCTATATTAAGAAAAAATTTAAGATAGCAAAACTTTGATCAGCTGTTAACACTGAGATGTTTGGAAATGAGAAGATACATCTCTATTTTCGGACGGAGGGACAAGTATACACAACCACCAATCAACAACGTGCATCAAAGTTGATCATTATTTTTTTCTTATTTCCCTTCCGTGCATTCTATCCAATTATATCCGCTGTATATATATTATAAGCAATTCCTTCCTTCCTTTCTTATTATCCGCCGAAATTGAGGATTGAAATCATTTTATTTCCCTTCCTTGCAGATTGAAATCATTTTATTTCCCTTCCTTGCATTATATGCATGTCGTGCTCTTTCCTTCAGAACTCAATTCCTTTCTTTTCTTATTTCTCTCACACGTGGGGCATCTATTTCCTTCCTTCCTTTCTATGCATGCCGTCCTCTTATTTCCTTCCTTTCTTTATATGCATGTCGTCCTCTTTCCTTCCTTCGTTTATTTATTCCCGGGATAGCTCCTTGATACATTGAAGATCAAAGGCGTATATAAATTGAGTGGATTAGACGAAAGAAGGCGAGGTGGGACTATTTAATAGAAAGAACAATTTTATCTACAGAAAATACTGGGATAGCTCGGTTGGTTGCAACGATTGATCTGTGAGAGGGAGGTCGCAAGTTCAATTCTCTACAAGAGCAAATATTTTTACCTTGTCTTATGTGGGCCTTCTTTCTTGGGCCACAGCGCCAAGTTGGGCTGTGAAGCCCACTGGGCGTGTAACTCGGATCGAAGCGACGACCAAATTTACGTTCGGAGGAAAATCTTTAGTGCGTACCCCCAAATTAGTACCACCTTGTTTATATTACGATTTTGTCCATACAAATTGTAAAAGCGTATTATGACATGAGAAGAAAGCGTATTGTGATGGTGAACCCACGGAGTTAATCCGTGCTTTGTTATGAAAATGATGAAAAAATGATGACTAGTACAAATGCCCGTGCGTTGCACCGGGCAAAAAGAAGGCGATACAACGTAATATCATTAAGCACCATTTATTATATCCAATAACAAAAGAGTATGTGTGTTGCACCGTGGGACGTTTGTGCTTCGCTGCAGAGAAAACACCACATTTTCTTTTTCAAAAAACCTGCTCTGGGTAGTTGCAAAGAATTTTGTACATAGTTGCAAAGAATTCAGTACATAGCAAGATAGGTACACACCTGCTGGAAAGTATCTAAAACTGAAAGAAGAAAAGCAGCGAGGATGTAGGCAACATGTTCCCTAAGCAGGGTCTCCACCTTACCACCAGCAAAGAAGAATCCCTGGTCCTCACAGTCTTTCATGTGTCGTCCGACTCTTTCTTCCCCAAGGTCACATCTGTATCCATTTTCTACCAATTTACAGAAAATGGAACATCCTTTTTATCTAGTACCAATTTACAGAGAACGGAAGTATGCTACTTTCGAACACTGCGTGCAAGAACTCTTCCACAACATAGCCATGATCAGTACACCAATCTAATACTGAAACTTATTCATACATGTGCCAATTTGTGCGACTCAAACAACAATCATGTACATGTATTAGTTCTAATTTCACTTGCTAGGATCAGAGGTAACTAACCAGCAAGAGTTATTACAGTAGCTTGAAATGAAGCATTGCTAGCCCCTACAATCAAATTTGCCGACATCCATAGAGCATATATAGTCGATAAATACTCTGATTTTCTCCAGGGATTAATTTTTTTTATCTAATAAATTGTTGGTTGAGATGGATGTGTGGCCACACGAGGAAGGATCGAGTCCGGAATGATGATATACGAGATAGAGTTGGGGTAGCACCAATTGAGGAGAAGCTTGTCCAACATCGTTTGAGATGGTTTGGGCATATTCAGCGCAGGCCTCCAGAAGCTCCAGTGCATAGCGGACGGTTAAAGCGTGCGGAGAATGTCAAGAGAGGGCGGGGTCGACCGATTTTGACATGGGAGGAGTCCGTTAAGAGAGACCTGAAGGATTGGAGTATCGACAAAGAGCTAGCTATGGACAGGGGTGCGTGGAAGCTTGCTATCCATGTGCCAGAGCCATGAGTTGGTTGCGAGATTTTATGGGTTTCACCTCTAGCCTACCCCAACTTGTTTGGGACTAAAGGCTTTGTTGTTGTTGTTGTTGTTGTAATAAATTGTTGATTCATCATGGTCCAGCATAAAAAAGAAGTGGAAGTTATAATCTGTTATCTAATAAAGTGGTTCAGGGTGTCAAACACAATATGAATTTTGAAACAGTTTCATTGCGCAGGAGCAGATGGCCTGCAGTTATGTTTGTGAAATTTACTGGCTAGAAAAAAAAATGTGAAATACCAAATTCTAAATAGCTCGGCATCAGGAGAGGCAGCACCTCATCATATATTGGGTCTTTAACAAAATCAAAGACATAGTAAGAGTATTCCTGAGCTCCTACAGTCATACATACTTGAGCTAGCTGATAGTAACATAAATAAATTTAAGAATTCAGTAGCCATGCATGATCAATAGAATGCAGTAGCCAGTAATTTCATGTGACGGTAGTTAGTCATGGTCTCATTGAGTTTCTACATTAAATTTCCATCGTTCGTGTCAAATGCCTAAGCATGAGACCTGTCTGTCTGTACCTAGCTACAAAACAGCTGGACAAACACGCAACATCGGTCAGAGTAAATTGAAATTTTAGCAGTGTAAATATAGCTGCCATATTGATCCTTGATTTTTTATTTTTTACTATTGATCCTTGCTTTGAAACTTTAGACATAGATCAGTTGAGGAGCTACAACTATTTGTCAGGCTCTTCCGACAAAAGAACTGTCAGTCATGCTGATGCTTTGTGCGTACTACATGCATGCTCGCTGTATATCTACGCCGCCCAGGAGCTCATGCGACCGCACCTGGCTACGGGAGCATATGCGTGCATGATCGCCACGCGGATGTGCAACGTGCATCTTAGCGTGGCAGCTTCCATCACCGAGCTTTACCCCCGGGGTGAACACAATGCACGCTGGCCTGCACCTTGGTACTCCACGGCTTCACACACGCAGCATGCCGGTTCGATTGCGGCGCCCTTATTCATGCACTATCGTGGCTGGCCAGGTTCAACGATGGCAACCTGCTTCCGTGGGTCGGCGTGGCATGCTCTGACGGGGTTCGATGGCGGCAGCCTCTTCTGTGCTCTCGTCTCCGTCAAGCGTCGACACCCTCGTACATGTCAGCTACACCGTCAAGCGGTATGGATGTACTCGCGAATGATGAGCGACTTGGCCAGGGTGCAGCCGTCTACGATGAGCACGGAGACCTTGCATCCATGGATGGGGTTCAGTAGTAGTCGGCCCCGACTGGTACGTGCATGAGATCGATCCAGCCTACTTCATCGGGCCCGACCTCGCCTGTGAAGCGCCCGTCTCCTTGCCACAGCAGGGAGGATGGTGCTGGATCGGGTCTGGTATGCTTTGCCGTGCTTGACCTAATCTCGGCAGCGCCATCTCCTTGCCGTCTCAGGGAGCAGGGGGCTGGATAACGATGAACGAAACAGACGTCAAGATCGAAAAGAGGAAGGCTACTGCCGATGGATTCGTTGGGATGCCGGTGAGGGAGACGACGACCAGCCGGCGGCAGCGAGCGGCGGACGTGCTTAAGACGCCGCTATGTGTTTGTGGGAGGAGCCGAGGAGGGGCTCCCAGACGCTCACAGGAGAGGCGACGGCGGTAGATGTAGTTCCTGATGGGATCGGCCTTGGCGTACGCCTCCTTGTGACCTCGTCCGCCTCCGCAGGATTCACCCGTCCCCTTGTCTCTATCTAAATATCAGAGGCGTTAGTTAAGGCAGACTCCAAGTCAAATCAGGGTCCACATAATCAGGGTCACCTCATGAGGAAACATTGGTTCAGCAAGAAGGAAAGAGCACAAAGAGCTATGAAAATTCACATCAAAGTAATTTGATCTCACAAGAGAAGTTGAACAAGCTAGTTAAGCATAGTGGCAAGCTCATGAATGTATCGCCCCATCTGCCTGCATGAGATGGGCTGCAGAAAATGAATTGATTGTATCATGGGATTGGAGCTACATCAACATACTGAAGATGTAAAGATAACTGGAAATATATATCAACCTATCATGAGTGTGAGAGAAGTGAAAAATAAGGAATTGATGGTAAAAATTGCCACCATTATAATTGTCATTTATGATCTTACTGCAAAAAGTACGAGGGTGAGCAATCAAAAAGAAAAATCATGCATACTAATAGGAAAATTGCAGAGCCATCATTAAACCTATATTTCTACGAATGTGAATAAAAATGGGAAGAACAATACCAATATTTTTTGCTAAAATTAATGAATGGATTGTCCCAATTTAACTTGAAGGATGAAACTTTCCAAGTTTGGATGCCCCAAAATTGTACAGAAACTAAATCAATAAAAATGGTCATGCTAAAATACATCATCTTTGAGAACTCCTTTATTCAAGGCAGCCTACTGGTTGTGCTTCAATTGGACCAGGTGATGAGCTGCAACAACGTTTGCAATCCATAATTGCTCACCTCGATGCAAGAACCAAGAACCAACACTTATGTACATACTCATTACTCGGTACATATCCTATAACAAGTTAATGTTATGTCATTATAAAACTTGGTAGAGTCTAGTAATACTTGGATAGAAAAATAAATGCTCTGCAAGCATACAGCTGAATCAGAATACCTTATCAAACATGACTCTCTTTCTATTTCGCAGGTAAGTTGTGACAGCAATACAGTAGCCAAAAGTCAAACCCAATTAAGGTAATAATAAGTATGCTCCCCTCAGAAATACAACCTAAGCTCCTAAAGGAAAAGAAGAAACAATGGTCAGTCTCATGCAAGAAATTTTGAAGAAAAAGATGAGATGTACTTTCTCGACCTTTGGAAACAAAGATGCAGAAAAAGGAGGGACATACAAAGGTTATACATGTGGAAGTGCCATCAGACAGCTAGCTGGATCCCTTCCTCGTCAGGTCCAGTGTAGTGAAACGATGTCATTTAGGGGAGTATATCCAATGTTTAATCAACAGCTGACGATGAGCTTAAATTGGTTGAGCAAGAGTGTTTGCACTGCAGCCTTGTTTTCAATCTCTGCTCATACTACCATTCCCCTTCCAAAACTAACCATCCTATCAACAGTTCTATGTGGCAATCCTTTTTATCCGAGCCATCTGCAGTTGAATCTTGGGCAGAGTCATGTGTGTGGCCGCCCTAATTGAGCATCAAAGCTGAGTCCAACATTTGTCGGGTGCCACAGCCGCCTCCTTCTCAGCACCATAGCGGATGTGCCCCAGGTTCCATCCCTTGTTGCGTAGTCAATGGCAGGGGACAGAAACAACATCTAAAACAGGGAATTGCATCCAATGAATATCAAGGGGATACATACCTCTGGTGTAGCCACCGGCAGCGACATTGGACGGTTGGACGGACGTTCTTGTTCCTCCGGCGAACTCGGCGTTTCTTCCTCCAGCGAACTCGGCGGCGACATTGGATGTTTCGAGGAAAATTGCAATTTCGACGGGATTTGATGGAGCTTCTGGTCCAAGGACGCAACCTGATGGAGATTCCGGCCGAGGACCCTTCCTTCTTATACCAGGCGACTCAAATCCGGGTAGGGAAATCCATTGATTGCAGTTGGAAAAGGACACGGTCTCCAATCACGACACGGGAGCAGCAACTCGGACATTGGGAGGTGGCTGTGGCGGCGGATGGAGGACGCGAGCCTCGTCGCGGCCGCTCGCAGGGCCATGCCCTTCCTTCCCTTAGCAGCGCGAGATGGGGAGGGGGAGCACGGGAGCCGGGGAGTCCAGATCGGCGGCAGCCAACGCTGGTCAGGAGGAGTTCGTGCGTGTTGAGAGAAAGAAGAAGCAGATGTCCGCGTGTGCGTGCGCTTTCAGGAGTTTTTCTTTTCAATACTGGACGACCCATAAGAGAAGGCCCATAATAAAAGGATCAATGTAAGAGAAGGCCCCCGTAATAAAAGGATCAATAGCATGAGCGAGCCTAACGTGCGACATACTAAATTTTATTAGTATCACCTCGCACATATGTTTTAAATTCAAAGAGAAAGCGTAAATTCATAAAAAGAAAGCGTATTGTGACGGTAAACCCACGGAGTCAATCCGTGCTTTATTATTAGGAATAGATTATATATTATTATTATTATTATTATTATTATTATTATTATTAGGGAGGGATTATTATTATTATTAGGGAGAGATTTTATCCATATAAACTGTAAAGGCATATTATGACATGAGAAGAAAACGTATTGTGACGGTGAACCCACGGAGTTAATCCGTGCTTTATTATTAGGGAGCAAAAATACCCGTGCGTTGCAACGGGAGAAAATAACTTTCTTAACATAAACTAATATAATAATTGTTATTTAATTTTTAATTGACGTCAATTATTCCCAACATAAAAAAGATTTGTGTTTTCAACCATACTGTCTTTGCAAAAACAATTAATGCGTTCATGGATTTCCTAGTTCTGGAAGGAAAGGGGTTGAAGAAGTAGTGGAGTAATGTCAACTATTGATGTTCTGTTCATGGTGTGAGAGAGCTTTGGAAACTGTAATAACTTGAGGCTCACTAATCTAAACTCTTACGAACCATTCTAACAAAGTGACACGAAATATTACATAGGAGCGACATTTCAATGACTACGTCGAGGTGATGATAAAATTTGCAACATCTAGTTCACGTCCGTGGATGGCATGGATCGCGGTGCACGGGAACAAGAATAACGGTCGGACCTGGGACATATCTAGGAGGTTGACGACATTTGGATGAGTATATTGGTGTGTGTAATTAAAAATTCATAAATTGAATGTGACGTAGGCTTGAGACGATTGACATAGAATGAAAGGTAAAATTAATCATTCATGAAGCGCGAGTCAAGCTCTTATTTATCTGAATGGATTTTTATTATTGTTGTGGTCGTATGTGTTCGGCTAAAAGAGGTCTAATTGTTGAAGGCCTGAAAAAAGCACAGTCGAATATCGGATATGTGTGTGCACGTCCATCATCCTGCATGTGTATACTTGCAGCCCAAAGGTCCATCCTTCTTCCTTTTAGTTTGCCTCATCCTTTTCTTTTTAATAGGAATTAGACATCCCACAATTCCATTTTAGGAATTTATTATTCCTTTTTAATTCGCCCAATCCTTCATTAACACCCAAAGACAGACACAATTCCGTCGTGCTAGTGCGGCACACTGCTCCATTTATCCTTTTTTGTTAGAGCATTCCAGCATCCAACTCTCCGCACCTCCAAATGATTTATCGGTTGTGAGTCCGGCCGGCAGGCTCACCCTCGATCTCCTTTAATACCCAATACGCCTCACATGTAATTTATTTTCTTAATCTTAAAGAGACAAGGATCAATTCTTTCCTTTAATAAACCACCATTAATTTATTGCCTTCAATATACAACCCCCAATTCCTTCCTTTTATACCACAATCCGGAAATCCATCCTGACTTTATTTTGTTCATATTCGGCCCTCAATTCCTTCCTTTAATAGATAAAGGTCAATTCTTTCCTTTAATAGACCACAATCAATTATTTCCTTTGATAGACAACCCTCAATTCATCTCACGGTCTCTTTTCTTATGTGTCTTGCTGATTACATGACACTTGCTAACATATATAAACTGGTAGGATTCTGTTTAAAGGAACAACGTGGGATTATTTAACATCAAATTTGGACGTCCGTTTGGTTGTTGGAGCTTTTTGTCGGGATAGGAGGTCACGAGTTGCTGCGGCCTTTTTTTCTCATGTTGTTCGTGGCCCAAAAAAGGCCTAGAAGTGTAGCGATTGGATGTTGATTAGGCCTAGCCGTGCATCTATGTGGTCCAATATGAAAATTTCCATTTTAATGTTTGGCTCGGATCTACTCGTGATATGGTTCATTTTAAGTTAAACCTTTCATTTTACCAAAGTTGGCCAATAGTTCACATGGCTAGCCCAGCCGACTCACATCTAGGATCTCTGTTTTACAGAATGTATTTTTTCTTCTTACGGGAAGGCATTGGTGGGATGGGTTGGTTACACGCCGGCTGATGGCCCATGATGTACACGCCGCCTCATGGCCATAAATAAAAGTGAATGATCGTGAGCTTGTGCAGAAAAATAGTACCACCTCGGGTAAATCATATGAAACAAACTAAAAGCGTAAAATCATGGGAAAAAGCGTATTATGACGGTGAACCCACGGAGTCAATTCGTACTTTATTATTAGGGAAAGATGATGTGGAGGAGTAGTACGATCCGGAAGTAGTACTAGTAATAGCAACAGAATGCCTCGGGACTTGGCGCACCGGTGAAACGTGCGGCAACAGGAAAACACGGTCTCGGTGACTTATGATTTGACCGCTCCCCAATCATACAACACACTGCAAAAAATTTCCTATCGGTTCCTGCGACATAATCTTTGCACCGGTCGGTTTTCAACCTGCAGCAGCGGCAGCGCACCTGACGCCATCTTAACTTTCTTGAACTCGAACCTTCGTCTGTCAATTGTGAGCTTCTTGATCCCTAAAGGAGATCCCTTCAAGAACTCATCACCACCGTGTGCGAGCCCCACGGTGGGCGCCAACTGTCGTGGAATTGTCACGGCAGATGTCCTTAGTGTCAGGACTTAGTCGCGAAGCCAACGCATCTATGTGGTAGCTTGAGAGGGGTTGAGCGGAATCGAGAGACACGACCCAAGACAAGGGTTTAGACAGCTTCGGCCTCCGGGAAACATCATCCGGTAATAACCCTACATGCTGTTTGTGGCTAG